TTAAGTCCAACTTTACTGTGTAATATAAAATAAAATAGAATAACTCCACTGTGATGCTTTGAACCCGATCACTTGCTTTATAGAAGCTAGCTACATCCATATCCACTACACCATCGAGGACTAGCTGCCAAATCCAATAATTTTTAAAATATACATGTTCTTATGCCGTACCCCATTACAATATTTGAAAGCTAACCGTTTTCAGTTCAGTGCTCAACCCTGATCACTGCAGATCGGTGCGTAACGTACTCTCTACTGTGTTCTTTCCATGGACTTGCGCTCTGTAGTTTTGGTTTCTTCAGCTATTCTAGCCTCATTCTACATTCCAGTCTCGTTCCATTATAAAAATAATAATGCGTTGTGTAAAATTCATGAGGTGTCCAATCTGGCTTCACTCGATGTTATCTAATGCTAACCTTGTGGCGTTTTGTCTTTTGTCTGTCATTCGTAAACAATAGCTAAAACAATGTAACTACTCCGTCGACCAATCAGCGCTTCTGGTCGGATTCTGGACAGATTTTTCGTCATCAGTATGGAATTTCTGTCGCTGAGTCGCAGACGTTCCTCCTCGCGAAAAGTCCCTAGTGGCGAAGAGCAAGGAGAAACGGATGTTTCGGAGGCTAGGTTAATCTTGGAAATATTTTGAATGAATGATAACCTGAAACAATTACTGAATTCGGCTTTTGTAAGATGCAAAGAAATATACAGATCTCGGAGGGGTGTTATTATTATAATTCTTTACCTTGCGAATCAACCCAAGATGTGAGATATAAGTCAAACAAATTTAGACAACTATTACTATTAACGTGTTTTGATATAGTTTTTCAGAGGCGATACCGATATTTTTCAATCGCTTTAAAAAGTGATTTATCTTTGTCTGATCGCTATAAAATTTTCAGCAATGACTGACTATAGATTGAAATTTGTCAAAATGTAGGTTTTAGTAAAATCGATATGATTACTATGACAACAATAAACAAAAAACTTTGAAATTGATAAACGCCTAATTTTGCGCGATCTAGACCAGCTACTGAAAATCCAACACCAGGAACTTAAAGTTTGGTGTTTAGCAAATAACCTCCGTAAGAAGTATATAATAACAAAAAACAAAATACCTCACGGCAAAACCAAAAACCTCACGGCAAAACCAAATGCTTCACAGCATAAGCAAAATTTTGCCGTGAGTATTTGGTTTTGCCGCGAGCTATTTGGTTTTTGCTCTGAAGTATTTGGTTTTGCCGTGAGGTCTTTGTTTTTGCCGTGAGGTATTTTGTTTTTGCCGTGAGGTATTTGGTTTTTGCCATCAGGTATTTGGTTTTTGCTCTGAAGTATTTGGTTTTGTTGTGAGGTTTTTGGTTTTGCCGTGAGGTTTTCGGTTTTGCCGTGAGGTATTTTGTTTTTGCCGTGAGGTTTTTTGGTTTAGGGTTGACAGTTGTGGACCACCGTATAGTAGGTATATCATATACGTTTTAGAATAGACTTACGATCTGCAGATTCTACAGCATCCAGAAAGATGAACACTGAAAAGGAAGAAAGACATATTATTCCTTACTGGCGCAGTATCAAATAAACTGATAACTTCAAACCTCGTCTCCAGGGTCTTCTCGTTTTCCAAACGGCAAAGGGCCATATTTGTATACGAGAAGACCTTGTGGAAGGATTGTTTTTGGTCATGTGCATGTCAGTTACAAATACTGCCGAGAGTCTCTGGTGATGACACAGGTAGCCCAAGCTCGAAATATGAGCATTGGTGAGCATCGGCATTGTTGCGTAACATTCAAAATATTAGGATTTGTATGGGTAAAAAACCTATCGTTTCTGTAACCTACGAAAATGAAAGGATTTCAATAAAAAACAGCTTACTTACTTAAAACGTGTTTTACATCTCTCCTGTGTGGTCCACGGGCCGATTTATGGCCGTTTTATGGGTTTTTATGTAAAAGGTTTTCTCTCTATATAAAGGTTTAAACCTTTATATAGAGAGAAAACCGTTTACATAAAAACCCATAAATGGACCACACAGGAGAGATGTAACACACATTTTAAGTAAGGTAAGCTGTTTTTTATTAAAATCCTTTCATTTTGGTAGGTTACAGAAACGATAGGTTTTTTTTCCCATACAAATCCTTATATTTTGAATGTTACGCAACAATGCCGATGCTCGCCGATGCTCATATTTCGAGCTTGGGCTACCTGTGGTGACGAGAATGACAATTTACCTAAAGGATGTTAAGAGATTGTAGGGAATATGTGTGAAATCTTCAATACGACTAGGCAGTACATTAATTCAAAGCGCTACACAAAGACCATAAGAGCGGAGGCAGCAGCTGTTAAAGTGTAAAGAAGGAAATGGAATCCTTAATTGTAACTCAGCAGTCTGTATGACGGCACACACGTTGCAGTGTAGACAGTCTTCCTAAAAGAGGAGAGGCAGCGCGATCGGGCGATTAGAACGCTGGATTTGCATTGTAATCTGGAGGCCTCGGACATCGACCACGCTTGTAACTATCGGTGAACTAGATCACCTCCGGCCAGTAAAATTTTTATTCGTTATATTATTTTCTACCAGGTGAATTTGCTCAACTTTGTTTGGCAAATATCAGCCGTTGTGCCCGGAGAACGATAAACGCAAATGAATATTCACCGAGTACAAGGAAGTTATGATTAGAGTATATCAATGATTCAATTTAGAATATCAACAACAAGCCACAAAACTCACGCAACAATATGATCTTCCAAGCAGACGATGACATCTATGGTACAGTTTTGGAGTAGAAATGTGTGTTTAACAACAACGCAACACGATATCGCCTTTATATTCACGCCTGAGATTCTGAACTGGCATCCCGGAAGGTTTAATAAAATATACGCATAGTCATTTACATGTACGTCATAAACTGAAAAAACGTGACAGGCCTGGGCGCTTTCCATTTAGTCAAAATTTCCGGTCGGTTCATCCCACTGAAAAATTCCCAGAAAAAGTGGAAAATCTAAAAAGGTGGGCCCGTTTTCCCGGTTGGAATTTCCGAACGGAATGTCGTGTTCCATTTACGTTTCTCGTAGTTTGTACCAGTTCCAGGTCCACAGTCGGGCACCGCGACGTACCGGGGCCCCTTAGACCAAATGGAACAACTTTTTATCAATCGGAAATTCCACTTTTGCTCCCATCGAAATTTCTGGGGTTTTTTTCCTAAATGGAAAGCGCCCAGGCTGTCAAAGTGATTTCTTTAATTTTTTTGCATCAACGGTCCAAACTTTGAGATCGATTGTAGCATTTGCGTTTTCGATTTTTCAGTACTTCAGGGAAACCATGAGTATTAGTAAAAATACTGTAGATCGATGCGCATTTTCAAGTCAAGTCAACTTCGTTTACTCACTGTTAATCCTTCAAGAGGTAAGTTTAGATTCATCATCAGGGAATACTGTTAGGCATAATTTGAAAAAAGACTAGGGAATCCAAACATTCCAAAGATTCTGAGATTTAGATGATCTCAAAGAAAACCCACCCGATCTTTTGATTCCACACTACCAGTTTAGTAAAAGAAAATCAAAAAATTAAACAAATACATAAACAACCTAATATCTTATTGGCTGACTAAATAAATAATTTTTCCTCTTTATTTTCTACTATTTATTAAAACCAACTACACATTAATAACATTGATGTTCATTAATATTTTATGCTCATTTTCTTTTCTTTTGTTTTTTGTGTTCACTTTCTTTGTGTGTACTCTTTTTTACGTTGTTTGCGTTGTTTGCGTATGTCAGCATTTAGAGTGATTTTACTTAACCCATGAAAAGGCAGTAGAAAACTTCCCACAATTATGCACTAACTCTATTGTCTTCTTTTGTTTATTTGTAGCTGTTTTGCACTAGTTGTTATTTAACAATTATTCCTCTAGCCTGCGAGCAAGCTCTCCTATTTCGGCGAGCGAAGTAAAAGCAGCCGCAGGAGAACGTGCGAGCGAGCGGCAAAACCGCGAGGGGCTGCCCCCCGCTTTCGCGTCTCCTCTCGCGTGCGTCTCGCGTGTCTACTTTTCACTATATCCCAAAATGGAGAGCTTGCTCGCAGGCTATTTTTCCTCACGCCCATAGCCTGCGTAGCAGGCGCTTACGTAGGAGCTTGGAGCCGAAATAGGCTCTTGACTCAGAGGCCATGAGGGGGAGAAGAATAATTCTTTAAGTAAAATCCAAATAGTTGGTCAAAGATATCAAGACAAAACAACTTTAGCTCGCAAAACGTGATTCAACCACCACTGTTTTGCTTTTCAAAGCTTGTGCTTTTTCGCTACTAGTGGGCTATAAAATATAGCCTAGTGGTAGCTCAACCAATCAGAACGCAGAATTGATAATAGACCACTAGTTGGATTTTACTAACATAAAATATCTTTTATCTTTATCTTTACCTTGGCTTATAAAATTTACTTTAAGTATCCAAACTGTAGGCAATTTTCATATTAAAATATTAACCTTTTTATCACTATGCTGGGTACATACTCTTTAACTGGTGTTTAAAGGTAGCAGGTATCCCATAGCCTTAGTAATATTTTGTCGAGAACAGGGCTCAAGAACAACTTGAATCCCAGCAAGTCCTTTGGGCAAGAAGCCTGGGGCCACTTCTTGCTCGTCTCAGTTAATGACTTGGTTAAAGGGTGACTTACCTGGACCGTTTCCCACTGGGCAAGTGAGCCTTAAAACTTCCTTTCCCAGCAAGAAAATCTATTTGAAATTTGCCCCAGACTACTGGACAGGACTTTCCTTAAACCCTGGGGGATCAATACTTAGGAAAAAATACTGTAGAGCATTTATTTCAGCCTTATTAATGTGTAAGTAAAACAAGGGCATTAACTAAGCTTTAAAAGTTACTTGCCCAGCAAGAAATGTACTTGTCCTGGACTACTATACATGTACATGGGCCTTTTTTCAAGCCCTGGGGAATCAATATACGGACAAAATACTACAGTCACAGAGCATACATTTCAGCTTGATAAATTTGTAAGTTAAACAAAAGGCTGCAGACACTGTTTGATTCCTTCCTTGAATGGTGTGCGCATGCTTGCCCCACCGTCTTCCATCATGGATTCCAGATCCAAGCAGCTAAGAGCAGTGTTGTGAGGCCTTGGAGTTCCAGCACTAGGGGCATCAGGATTTGGAATCAGGTGACTGTGTGATAAACCAAAAATCTCTGCCATTTGGCAAACCATTGCATATTTTGTCATGACTTCTGTTCCACTCCAGTGCCAAATTCCTTTGAAAGAAGAATCTGTGATGCGCTTTTCTGCAATGAATCTGCAAACTGTGGCAATGTCATCAACCAGGGTAGGATACCGGAATGCATAATCATCCATTTTGGTAGGTTTTCCAGTTTCTTTAAGAGCTTCAAAGAGAACTAGAATAATAAAACAGAGAATTCACAAAACCAAAAATCCTAGTCAACATCCTTCCCATACCATTAACGTCTCACCTTAAATCCCCTAACAGGCGCGGATCCACACCGGTTTCCACCGTTTTACGGAAATCGGTCAGATTTTTCTTAAATAGATATATTTTTAATAAATAAAAAACTTTCCAAGTTGCAAGGCTTTATCCAAGGTGAATGGAACTGGCCAATATCTTATCTGAGTGACTCAGAACCCCGAGAAAGGAGACTTTAGGGGAGTTAAAATCTAAAACATTTACTGGGGGAGCATGCCCCTGGACCCCCAAGAAGCATGCGTTTTCGGCGCTCGTTGAGGAAATCGGTCGGTATTTATCCTAGATCCACGCCTGCCTAAGTTACAAGGCTATCTAACTATTACACAAAAAGTAACTTACAGTAATAATTCTAGCTGAAGCCTTCACTCATAAATTAATAAACAATGAACTTGAGCATTAAATTGAATGTAAAAAAAGATGCAACTTTGCAAGTAAAAAATAATGTGGAAGATTATAAGATCCTAGTCAAAAGCCTTCCCATACCATGAACGTCTCGCCTGAACTATTGCAGAAAAAGTAACTTACAGTAACGATTCTAGCTGAAGCCTACACTCATAAATTAATAAACACTGAACTTGAGCATTAAATTGAATGTAAAAAAAGATGCAACTTTGCAAGTAAAAAATAATGTGGAAGACTATTTTAATCTTTAGAGGTTCCACTATGTAATATGTCAATCAGGGTTCAACAGCGTTAATTTGGTAAAGGTTTTTTTTTTTCATTGTTTTCAATTTCAAATTTTCACCTGTTCTGTGATTCTTGAATTAGCCTGAGCATGCAAGCTCTCTCGGTTACCTCTGATTGACTTGGGTCGAGGAAGTGTAAAGAGTAGAGAGATAGTTTGCCCATATAAGCTACATCTTGAAGGGATGAGAAAAAACAGTTTCCACATTTTGGGTGTTTGCTTACAGGAGGTTCGACTGTATTTGTGAATACGAAAATAAGCATTGCCGGCAAATAAGCACTGCTCTTGTTACCCCATCTCTGATCTGCCCTCATCTGATCTTTCTTACACACACCACTCCCCCACCCCCCTGCCGGCCCCACCCCTAGTAAACCTGTACAGCTGGGTGGATGGGCTATTGAATGTAATATCCACACCCCGTCCCCTTCTGTTGAGGACCTACCCTTTTTTCTTACTCCTGAAGAAATCACCAAATTGCATTCACCCGTACAGACTGCCATTAGTTATGGGTCTACCCTTGAAGAATTTTTTCACAAATTCTCTGTTTCCCGCTGCAGATTACCCCTAAGGAATTTATAATTTTTTTTTTTTTTTTTTTTTCAAGTGAAGAATTCCTCGACCTTTAAATTTTACTTCTGAGGAATT